CATAATAGTCAAATCTAGAAAGAACTCAAATGTCCTTCAACAGGTGAATGGTTAAACTATGGTGAATTACATCATGCAATACTAAACAGTAGAAGGGAACAAATTTTTGATAGGACAAATATTGTATGATTCTATTTGGGTATCTAGAATAGGCAAATTCATAGACATAGAAAGTATTAATAGAATAGAAGTTGACTGGTGAGGAGAGGGAAAATGAATTATTAATTTTTTAATAAGTATAGATTTCTGTGTAGGATGATGAAAAACTGGAAATAGTGGTGATGTTTATAAACATTATGAATATACTTAATACCGTTGAATTGCACACTTAAAATGGTAAATCTTATGTAAATTTTATCACTATAAAAAGGGAACAAACTTTTGATAATGTGTACCAACTTTGGATATTAGCTTAAAAAAACTATCTCAAAGGTTATATGCTTTCTGTTCCTATTTATATAACATTCTTGAAATGACAAAATTATAGTGATGGAAAACAAAACAATGGTTGCCAGGAGGAAAGAAAGTTGCTGTAGTTATGTAGCATGAGGGATCCTTATGCAACTGTTGGCCATGGTGGTCACATGGATTTGAATGTGTGATAAAACTGCATCTAACTAAATTGACACACAAACAAGTGCATGTAAAACTGGTTAGATCTGAACAGACTAGATTTTATCGATGTCAATTTCCTGTACTATAGATAATGCTACATCTTACCATCGGGAGAAATTGGTTGAAGGGTTTACATCCTATCTCTGTATTGCTTCTTATAGTGCATGTTAATCTGAAATTACCTCAAAATGAAAAGTTTTTAAAACATAACCATGGTAAGGGAAGCATGTGCCTATCATATATTATTTCACTGAATTTCCACTTCATTCTTTGAGGTGTAGTTATTTTATCCCAAATGTACAGAAAAGGAAAGTGGGACTCAGAGTTTAAAGCATTTGTTCAAGTAATTTGTTCTGAACTTTCTAGGTCCCACACTCAGCTGAGGAGACTGGGCTAAAAACCTCAGCTGGGCCTGGGCATAAACTTTTTATCAGCTACCCCTCAACAGGGAAGACTAGAACTTCACACACCTCTCTTCCCTGCCTGGTCAAGTTGTTAGTAACAACTTTGGTCCCAGGGCATTTGTTCTTTGATGCATCATTGAGTCTCTTCACATGGTATCTATTTGTCAACAGTTGAAAATAAACAGGATTATTTTTCTTCAGAATTAAATGATTTCATCCTTTTTTCCCTTCCTGATTCCTTTCCACGCCCTTTCCTTTTACAATACAGTCATACTTTAAATCATTAACATAACAACCCAAGTTCATTTATTCTAATATACATACTACGTCTACTGAGTCTATTTTGTTTTCAGGCTTATTTGTGGAGGGACAGTTTTATTTGTTACACAAATGCAGGATCATTATTCAGCATTGGCAAATTCTTACTGCATTGGCAAATTCTTACTGCCTTTATTCTTCTCCTTCCTTCCTATCTCATGTTGGCTGTACTATTTGTACATGTGTTTCTGCTAGTGTCATTTTTTCATAGCTCCCACTTCCATTACCAGAATTTTCCTAGTTTGAATATATAATTATTAGCAAAAAAGTGCCTTCTTTCTCTTATATAGAGAGGAAAAATAGAGTAAATGGAACTTAGGATCTGCTTTGTAAACCTTTTATGCTGCATATCATGTTTGGTTGACTTACTTGGTTTTAAGAAGCAGAGATTGACTCTACCTCTGGAAAAAGGATTTATTGTAATGATACACTGGCACTTAAATTTGAGTAAAAAGCAGCTTTAGGGACCAAACTATACTCTTCATCTTTCTCTCCCAAGTCACCTTTCTTTTTCTCTAATTACCTGCTCTTTTGGTGTGTTTGCTATTTTCTCATTATTGCCTACCTTTTTTTTTACTTACATTTTCTTATTTCTTTAATCAGTGTTAATATCATAGTGATCTTTTCTGGCCTTTCTATAGGTCACAGGCTCTTAACCTTGGAACCATGGATGTATCAGGAATACCTTAAACACACTAAAAGCATGTATCTATACATATGTGATTTTTCTTGGGAAAGAGTCTATAGCTTTCAACAGTCTCAAAGAAGTGTGAGACTTTTTAAAAAGTTACTTAATATCTTTACCATTTCTACCCTGTGAACAAAAATAAAATCCTGAGCCCCAACCTGACTAAATGGACCCCTCTCTTGGCCAAGGGGACCCTAGAGAAACCTTAAAACTGAGTTGAGTTTCTGGCCATATTGGGATGGATGGTCAGACATGCTTTTCATTATACATCCTCCCCTGTTAACTGCCATTAGGCTTTCTTCCCTAAGAATGAAATAACCAGCCTTTGGGACAACTTGCCCCATTATTGATTTCAGTCAACCTAACACTGCTCCTCCTTTTCACAATCTTAGCACAATAACTGCCCAGTATTCCTTCGTGGTAAGAGGCCACGGATCATGAAGTGTTTCTTACCAGTCTACATAAGATGCACAGAAAGGGTTTTCATGTCCTCTGCTTCACTGTTTGATGTCAGAGAGCTGAAAACTCCACACTCGGATCATGCTAAGGCCACCATTTTCTGAACATGGATCCCATGAAGCTGCATAAAGCACAATTGCACATGTTCATGTTTCTCCTTTCATAAATATTCATGACTCCTCCTATAGTTTGTTAAATATGTATATTCAGCCAGTCTGCTCAGCATAAATTCTTGTTCTGGTTATCCGTTCCTCCAAGTACATGTTCTTAGCCTCTGCCCAAGGCTATTGCTTCCCAGCCTGCCGGTATGGCCACCCTGCAGGCTGTAACCCTTTATGAGAAATAAAGTTCTCCTTTCTAAATGTATCAACCTCATCATTTTCTTCAGTTGCCAATTATTGCTAACTGGCATTGAATCTCTAAAGTCAAATTTCCAAGAAAAAGACTCTGGCCCAGCTCATCATTTTTTCTGCCAGGTTACAGATTATCTGCTATATTGTGAATTAGTTATCTGGTGTCAGATTCAATTTCCTGATCCGCTTATCTCTATATGATTATGAAACATGGCTGCTTACACAGTAGAACTGATGAGTTTCACATAAAAGGAGCCATGGGAGCCTGGGAACGTTAAGTGGCATTACTAATACACTTCATTAAACAAATATTTATTGAATGCATACCTCTGGGCAAGGCCCCATGACTTGGTATGTGAAATAAACAGATGAATTAAGAACCCCGACCTCAAGAAAATGGAAACAATTCAAATGTCCATCATTGATGAGTGGATAAATAAAATGTTATATATCCATATAACAATATTACTTGGCAATAAAAAGAATTGAAGTATTAATACAAGATGCAACATGGATAAGCCTTGAAAACATGATCAGTGGAAGAAGCCAGTCGCAAAAGACTATATATTGTGTGATTCCATTTATATGAAATGTCAAGAATAGGCAAATTTATAGAGACAAAGTAGTTTAGTGGTCACCTAGGTCTCAGGGAAGTAGGGAGGACGTAAAGTGACTTTTATAACATGAACAAGGTTTTTTGGGGGAGTGGTGAATATACTCAAACAATGGTGATGGTTGTACAACTCTGTGAATATGCTAACAATTGTGTACTTTACATGGGTGAATTGTATGATGTGTGAATTATATCTCAGTAAATAATCCTAGCCTCAAGAAATTTATAGCCTGTAGGAATATAAAAGTGCATAAATAATGATAAATTGAAAGTAGAAAGTGTTTGTAAATACTTTTTTAAAAATGAGATTCTGGAATATGTTGATACGTTTTATATATAGGTCATGTAATTCACCTTTAATTCTCTGATAGAAATAAAGTATTAATGTTTATGGGAAGTGGGTGTGATTACATACAGTTTTAGGTGGGTTGGAGGTGAGGAATTTCATGAGAGAGGTAGAACTTGAGTTAGAGCAAGAAGCAATAACTATTTTTGTTTAAAAAAATAGAAGGGCATTTCAGGCCAAAAGAAAATTGAGAATTCCAAAGCTGAGACTTAAAACTATCATTAGAAATAAGAGCCAGAGTTTAAAGCAAGAAATTGAGTTTGACTAGGATATTATTCATTTTCATGTATTTAATGGTTACAATGACCTCGTACCCTGGATTTTTCATAACAGCTCCAATTCATATATTCTTTTCTTCTCCCATAAGCCCTAGATGTTGAAAAGCAGCTTGCTGTACCTGAGGAGGGCACATTTTAAATGTTAATCAAAAAGAATTATACTTCCTCAACAGCTCATGTAAACCAGTAAACCTATAAGGCCACTCAATTACATTATAATTGATGTCTGCCAATTTTCATGACATTTTAACATAATTAATATGTGTATTTATAGAGAGAGAGAGAAAGAGTGAGAGCGTGCTGTTTAAATTTAATTCTGCTTAAATTACAAAGTAAAATTGGGGCATTATAAGGTACTACTTTACTACCTCTTCTGAATAAAAGACATAGTAAAGCCTCCATATGTGCCTGACATTTTAATCACAGTGAACACTATTACTAACAAAAAATGTATGCAGTGTAAAGAGATAATTATGTGACCTCTTTTGCTAATTTGGGCTACTTTTGGTAGAGGACGTTAAAATATCCTGGGATTTCAGTATGTCAGCATCTAAACTATATCTTCCAAACTGGTGAGAAACAGAGGCTAAATGGTTATGAAGAGAACTATTTTAGATAATGTGGTATGTGTTATTATAGATGTTTACCTTATAAAAGCAGCTTGTAAATCTTGTTTTTTAACATTTATAAAAATAAAAATTTACTGGCTATTTTCAAAAGTTAGAATCTGATACATAATGGGTGCGGTGTGCACCAACTGGGGATTGGACACGCTTGAAGCGCTGGCACAGAGGGGAGGAGGGGTGGCAGGGGCAATATATGTAACTCCAACAATATTTGTACCCTTATAATATAATGAAATAAAAGGAGGAGGAAAAAGTTAGAATCCGTAGTTTAAAAACCACACTTTAATTAATATATTTCAGTTCTGGAGGTGGTTTTTGGCAAACCTGGCTTCTGGTGGAGCTGCTGGAGCAACATCCTTATGTGTAGTCTATCCTCTAGATTTTGCCCGAACCCGATTAGGTGTCGATATCGGAAAAGGTATGAGATTTTTAGAAATAATTTTTTTCTTTGTGTTTTGAACTATGAATTATTAGTTGTAGGATTATTCTGTAACAATGTTATCAAAGTCTACACATTTTATTCTTAACCAAATGGTAGAGTCACAGGGCCTAAACTATTACTTTTTTCTTTTTCCTTAAAAGAGGGAAGGGGAAGGCCTATTGTAGGAAAAGAGTGAACACAAAGACTAGTTATAACTTATTTCCATTTTTTTTCCTAGAGAGCCCCTCCTAGATCTCTCTGGGTACTTACTCCCATCTCAGCTATAGCTCCTCTCTAGATTAAATGTATAAATATCATCCTAGAGAATCCCTTTGGCTCTATCGTTCCTTAAACATCACACCTTCCTTTTTTGTTGTTACAACCTTATTTTTGTAGAGTATATTCTTTGGTACCCGTGTTTTGGTTTGGTTTGTTTTTTTTAAAGATGAGGTCTCTATCACCCAGGTTGGAGTGCAGTGGCCCTATCAGAGCTCGCTACAACCTCGAATTCCTGAGCTCAAGGGATCCTCCTGCCTCAGTCTCCCAAATAGGACTTCAGGCACACAGGTAGCTAGGACTACAGTTTACTGTGACTGTTAGAGCATATAGCTTGGGCCTGTGTAAAGTCTCCAGATGCTTTGGGGTGAGACAGGGTTTACTTGGGAAAACCACACCTGGCTAGATTATTTTTATTTTTATTTTTTGTAGAGATAGGGTCTCACTATGTTGCTCAGGCTGGTCTCGACTTCCTGGGCTCAAGCTATCCTCGCACCTGGGATTATAGGCGTGAGCCACCTGTCATTTACCTGGGTGGTAACTATTTGAGAAGGAGTGAATAGGAGATAAATTGAGATCTCGCATGTGTAAAAATACTTCTTTTACCGACTCACTTTATTTATACTGGACCATAGATAAAATTCTGAAAGTTATTTTCCTTCACAATTGTGAAAATATTACCCTGGCTTCTATGAATAGGTTCTAATGTTGCTCCTAAGAAATTTGATCTTTTACTCCAGATCCTTTAGGATGTGACGGGATTGGGTTTTTTTTCTTTTTAGTTATTTTCTATCCCTCATGACCTTACATTCCACAGTCACATAATCTCATGTGAGCCTCTTTTGCAGTAATTGTGGAGGTTACTCAGTTAGCCCCATTAAATCTGGAGCCTTGGGTTCAGTTCTAAGGATGGCAGCACAGTAAGTCATTTGGCAGCTCAGGGTGAGGTGGATTTTGAGTATCCAGTTGCTCCTTGTTTTTACTCTAGAAGTAGTACTTAGTTCCCCTGATTTCTAAGTCTTTCTGAGGTTATTGGAGTCCAGTGGCTTGCTTGTAAACATCAATAGCATCTTCCTCTGTACACAAACAGGTTTCAGGTTTCTCTTTTCTACTTAGTGAATTACTACTCCTTCCTCTCCTTTCCATCTTGCAAAATTCTATGGATTTCATTTTCTGTCAGGTACTCTTCTTTGCCTATATGGTTTAAACCTGTTTTTTTCTTTATTATCATTGTAATAGGGTTTCTTCAGGGAGCAGAGATTCATTCAACAAATATTTATTGAGTGCCTGCTGTGAACCAGGCCCTCCGGCAGATACAGCGTGTATGTGTGAGTGTGCATGTGGATGTGTGTATATATGCACACATACACATTCACACCCCCATATAAGACATGGAGCTAATGCCTCATGTAACTAATAGTCTAGTGGAGGACAGAAGTAATAAAAAAATGAATAAATGGCTAAAATTAAAAAATGAATAAAATATACTGTCACTTAATGATAAATGCTAGGAAAAAATTAGAAGTGATACCAATTTTAGATAAATGATCCGAAAATGTCTTGGGAAGGGGTGGCATTTTGAGTAAAGATGAAAATACGACTTCCATCTATTTAACTGGGAGTGCAAATTTGCTTTTTATTGCTAAGAAGGTGACAATAACTCATTGTAACTAGTTTTAAATTCCATAGTTCTTTATCAAAATTAAGAGAGTTTAGTTTATTTTGGAAGATTGTATCGTGCATAAAGTAGTTTGAAAATATTGTCGAGGAGTTCCAGGTCAAGGGAAAATAAAAACAAAACCAGAAAACATTAGAAAAATGTGACACCTCATATGAAATGTTAACTGTCCTAAACTTACTAGTTTTTAGCTTTATCTTTTTGCTTTTCAACAGTCCTAGAGTTTTTCATTTCTAAGCATTTTCTGAACCCTAGCTAGTAACTTGTGGTAATTTTAATGAAATGTTTTAAGTCAGACTGCTTGAATTAGATTTTTTGTAAGAGATTAATATTTTTAGTTAATTTCTTCTGAAATGTTACTTGAAATCTTGATTTAGATGAATGGGAGGATTTTGTTCCTTCTTTGTTAGAAAGATTTGAGTGACAGTTCCGGATAATTGAAATCTGTTAAATGTTTAATTTACTTTGGTTAAAATGTTTATTTGACACATGACATTGCTAATAGATTTTAAATGGTTTTATTTTAGGTCCTGAAGAGCGACAGTTCAAGGGTCTAGGAGACTGTATTATGAAAATTGCAAAATCAGATGGAATTATTGGTTTATACCAAGGGTTTGGTGTTTCAGTTCAGGGTATCATTGTATACCGAGCCTCTTATTTTGGAGCTTATGACACAGTTAAGGTAATTTGAGGGCATTAACCTAGATATATTAAATAAATGGTTTGTTTGTTTTTATTCTAATTAGTAATTTTTTCAGCAGATATGTTACTTTTAATTATAGAAATCAAAATAAATGATGAAATAAGAGAGATGAAATTCTGTTTAATGATGACTTTGCCATAACTAAATTATAACTGTATTATGGATCTGACTTTAAATATAAAACATGTATCAAAACATTATGCTTTTGTGGTATTTGTACTATACATCGTGTTACATATAAAAGATGTTAGGCCGGGCGTGGTGGCTCACGCCTGTAATCCTAGCTCTTGGGAGGCCGAGGCGGGCGGATTGCTCAAGGTCAGGAGTTCAAAACCAGCCTGAGCAAGAGCGAGACCCTGTCTCTACTATAAATAGAAAGAAATTAATTGGCCAACTGATATATATATAAAAAATTAGCCGGGCATGGTGGCTCATGCCTATAGTCCCAGCTACTCGGGAGGCTGAGGCAGAAGGATCGCTCGAGCCCAGGAGTTTGAGGTTGCTGTGAGCTAGGCTGACGCCATGGCACTCACTCTAGCCTGGACAACAAAGCGAGACTCTGTCTCAAAAAAAAAAAAAAAGATGTTAATTAGGCATGCACCTTAATCAGATCTTTGGCATACTGAAAGCCATCTTCTAACAGTTTTTCTGATTTTACATTAACTCTATTATCACATTTATACACACAAATAATCAGCTTACTATTAACATTTTGAGAAGTAGGTAAGGCATAATTATTTACATACTACTACAGCTTGGTTATCTACTAGATACTGTTAAATTCTGTATTGTATTCTCCACATTGTTCTGCAATTTGCCTTTTCATTTTAGATTTTAATAGCATCTTGATAAGGTAGGAAAAAGAAAAATTGTTATAATGTCTGCCATTTTTTGAGCTATTACTTAGTTCTGACAACCTTGAAGTACTTCACATCCTCACAATGTTCTGGGATGGCTTTTAAAATCTCCATTTTTAAGATAAATGGCCTAGGAATGGGTAAGTAATGTACTTGTTAAATGTCAAGCAAAAAGTCTATGCCTTTAATCACCACATTTATTGCTTCCAAGGAAGCAGTGAAATTAATATCAGTATTATTTATTAAATAAGATTAAAACTTGAGGGAAATTTTAAAATTGATTTATATGTCATCTCTGCTCTCCCTCATAAGAATAAATGTACTTGAATGTCATTACTACACATGTTACTTTTAGTTTTTAATGTATTTTTTAGACAGATGGAAGTTACAGGATCTCGTGTATATTTATTTAATCACAGAAAAATTTATGCGTACTCTCTCTGCCTTTCTCTATTACTAACTACAGTAGTTGTGAAATTAGGAGTGTTTTTTCACTAGCTTGGAGCTTTAAAGCTGCTCATCAAATATCATCTGTTGATAATAAGCATTCTTTCACTTTTTTTCATTCTGCAGTTAAGAACCATAGAAGTTTTTTTAGTTAGTGGCTGCTATCTTCCCAGCTTTAGGTACCATTCGTAACAAATCCCTTATAACAGCAAATATGTTTTATTTTTTCAAATATGCCTTTGAGGTATAGTCATGTGTGGCATTCCCCTTTATTGTTGACCTACTAAATCTAACTTTTTATTGCATTTTAAGTATAATTGTGTCCTCTTTCATAAATTCATAAAAATTATCTTTGACTTAAGGATTTAAGATATTTTGGAGATTTGGATGGTTACTTGATACATTTTTCTTTTCTAGGGCTTACTGCCAAAACCAAAGGAAACCCCATTTCTTATCTCCTTTTTTATTGCTCAAGTTGTGACTACATGCTCTGGAATACTTTCTTATCCCTTTGACACAGTTAGAAGACGTATGATGATGCAGGTATTTTATTTTATTTGTAAGCTTAATTGAGGTTTTTAGCACGTCTGATGACCAACTATACTTGATTCAAATTTTAGGGAAATTTGGCTGAAATGCATAGAGGTCTTTTGTTTTACTTAAGTAAAATAAATACTTGAATGTATTCTGTCATTTTTTTCCCCTGATTTTGTTTTTTTTTTTTTTTAATTTCAGCATATTAGGGGGGTACAAATGTTTAGGTTACATACATTGCCTTTGCCCTGCCTAAGTCAGAGCTTCAAGCAGGTCCATCCCCTAGATAGTGTGCACCACACCCCTTAGGTGTGAATGTATCCATCATCTCCTCCCCCTCCCACCTGCCCAACACCAAATGAATGTTACTAGTATATGTGCACAAAAGTGTTGACCAATAATACCAATTGGATGGTGAGTACATGTGCTTGTTTTTCCATTATGATACTTCACTTAGTAGAATGGGTTCCAGCTCTACCCAGGATAATAAAAGAAGTGCTAGATCACCATTGTTTTTTGTGGCTGAGTAGAATTCTGTGGTATACATATACCACATGTTACTAATCTACTCAAGTATTGATGGGCACTTGGGTTGTTTCTACATCTTTGCAATTGTGAATTGTGCTGCTATAAACATTCTAGTGCAGATGTCTTTTTTATAGAATGTCTTTTTTTCTTTTTGATAGATGCCCAGTAATGGGATTGGTGGATCAAATGGTAGTTCTACTTGTAGCTCTTTGAGGTATCTCCATATTACTTTCCACAGAGATACATATTAGTTTGCAGTCCCACCAGCAGTGTATGAGTGTTCCTATCTCTCCACATCCACATCGTCATTTATTGTTTTGGGACTTTTTGATGAAGGCCATTCTCACTGGAGTTAAGTGATATCTCATTGTGCTTTTGATTTGCATTTTCCTGACAATTAGAGATATTGAGCATTTTTTCATATTTTTGTTGGCCATTAGTTTGTCGTCTTTTGAAAAGTTTCTGTTCATGTCCTTTGCTCACTTTTTGATGGAGTTGTTTGATTTTTTTCTTGCTGATTGTCCTGAGTTCTACATAGATTCTAGTTACCAGCCCTTTATCAGATAGGTAGCATGCAAATGAATATTTTCTCCCATTCTGTAGGTTGTCTCTTTGCTCTCATGGCTGTGCAGAAACTTTAATTTGATCAGGTCCCATTTATTTACTTTTGTTGTTGCTGCAATTGCCTTTGGGGTCTTCTTTATAAATTTTTTGCCTGGGCCAATATATAAGAGTTTTTCCAACATTTTCTTCTAGATTCCTTATAGTTTCATGCCTTAAATTTAAGTCTGTTACCTACCGTGAATTGATTTTTCTGCATGGTGAGAGGTGCAGATCCTGTTTCAATATTCTACATGTGGCTGTACAATTTTCCCAGCACCATTTATTGAATAAGGATCTTTTCCTCCAGTGTATGTTTTTGTCTGCTTTCTCTCAAAGATTAGATGGCTACATGAGGATGGCTTTGTATCTGGATTCTCAGTTCTGTTCCATTGGTCTATGTCTCTGATCCTGTGCTCTTATGCCAATACAATGCTGTTTCAGTTACTGTAGCCTTGTAGTATAGCTTGAAGTCTGGTAAATTGATGCCTCCCAATTTGTTCTTTTTGCTTAAGATTGCTTTTGCTATACAGAGACTTCTTTGGTTCCCTACATAAGCATAGAATTTATTTTATAGATCTGTAAAAAATGATGTTGGTATTTTAATAGGGATTGCATTTAATCTGTAGATCACTTTGGGTAGTATAGATTTTTTGACAGTGTTGATTCTACCGACCCATGAGCATGGTATGGTTTTCTACCTGTTTATGTCCTCTGCTGTTTCCTTCCTCAGTGTTTCATAGTTCTCCCTGTGGAGGTCTTTCACCCCCTTAGTTAAATATAATCCTAGGTATTTTATTTTCTTTGTTGCTATTGTGAAGGGTATTGAGTCTTTGATTTGGTCCCGGTTTGACTTTTGTTGGCATATAGGAATGCTAACTGATTTCTGTACATTGATTTTGTAACCTGAGACTTTGGTGAATTTGTTTATCAATTCCAATATTCTCGTGGCAGAATCTTTGGAGTTTTCTAGCTATAATATATCGTCAGCAAAGAACAATGGTTTGACCTCTTCTGCCGCCCTTTGAATGCCCTTGATTTCCTTCTCTTGTCTGATTGCTCTGGCCAGGACTTCTAGCACTATGTTGAATATAAGTAGTGACAGAAGGCAACTTTGGTTTCAGTTCTAAGTGGGAATGCTTTCAGTTTTTCCCTGTTCAATATGATGTTGGCTGTGTCATATATGGCTTTTATTATTTTTAGATAAGTCCCATCTACACCTATTTTGTTAAGTGTTTTTATCATAAAAGGGTGCTGAATTTTGTCAAATGCCTTTTGTCAAATGCCTTTTCTGCGTCTATTGAGAGGATCATGTGGTCTTTGGTTTTGCTTCTATTTATATGGTAAATTACATTTATAGATCTGCATATATTGAACCATCCCTGCATTCTTTTCTATCCAAAATAGCCATCAGCCAGCAAAGCTTCATCTGCCATCAGAACAGAAATGCCTTCTACTCCTATAGCATATATTGTTTGAAGGGTAGAAGGCAATGGCAGAAATTGGATGAGTATGTCTTTCTTAACTGAAATACTATTTGGTAGGACAATTCCAATCACAAGCCATTGAAATATGCCATTTTTGTTGTAGCATGCTTTTATAAAAATAAATAATTTTGAACTCCAAGGATGAAGGCTTGTTTATAATGATGAATGTTCTAAATATGAATCTCTAAACCAAAACTTTGATACATTCAGTTTCCAGTGCTATTAACCAGTTGAGCATGCCACATGTGAAAATCTGAAATCCCAAACCCTCCGAAATCTGAAATGTTTTGAGTGCTAACATGATGCTCAAAGGAAATGCTCACTGGAGCATTTTGGAATTCGGATTTTTGGATTTGGGATGCTCAACTCATAAGTATATAATGTGAATGAATATTCCGCAATACAAAAAAATTCAAAACGCTTCTGGTCCTAAGCATTTCAGTTCAGGAATACTCAACCTTTGTTTATTATATTCATTCTTTCAGCAAATATTTGAGTGCTTAATCTATGCTAAGTTGTAGTGACAACAATTAAATAAGACACAACTTGCACCCAAACTCATAATCCAGTATGGAATACATACTATTAATGGTTTAAGTAGAAATGTCCCTAGGTTCCAGGAATGCATACAGGAATAGTGCCCAAATGCTTAAGTTGATCAGATGTGGCCTCTTGGAGAGCTAAATCTCAGTGAATACACTTTCTTCAGACAGTAAGAGAACATTCCAAGCATAGGGGAAAATCATACATACAGGTGTGGCTTGAGAAGTAGTTCAGGATAGCCAGATCATAGATTAATAAGGGCAAGTCAAAATAATGAGGCCAGAATCTAGAATAGTAATATGGTACTTACTATGTTCTTACCGTCCTAAGCATTTTACACTTTAACTTATTTTTTGTTGTTTTTTTTTTTTTTTTTACTCCCTGGTGGGAATACAGTTTGAACTCTGGGACCCAGAGGTCGGACCTGCAGACCAGATCCCCTGCACCGAGGGCTAGCATTGCCCGGGGCACAGAAGGGTTATACGTGAACAGCCTACTGAGGTGTGTGTGCCTCCAGGGGCGGATCCGCATCCTAGAGGGCAACCCTCCTCCCAGGAGGAGGCCGTGCTCCCAACCCAGGTGGCGTTCCTGTGCAGGGAACATCCCCGCCGGCATCACAGTCCGGGGAGGCCTGGTGGCTTGTGGTCTGGCCTGCTGGCAGAGGCCCAGGAGTAGCTGCAGAGTTGGGGAGGGTGGAAAGAAGCAAGGCCCGCTCCAGACTGCCGGTCTCAGACAGCCCCACCCCCACACGCAGACTTTCTGGCTGAGCAGGACCATTCCAGCCCCGCCCTGACAGCTTTCCCTGGAAGCAGAGAACAGAACTTTGACCCCTGCTAACTGCCTGAGGGCAGGCTTACCCAACCCAGCTCCGCCCAGAACAATAGCAGATAACAGGACACAAAATCAACAGCATAGCCTGTTCCTCCAAGCAAACGCCACCTACTGACAGGGACGTCATTTTGCACAGCCTTTCCACGGCACCCACTGACTCAATATACAGGGAGTGCTCCAATTTCACCCACAGACACCACCTAACGCCTTAGAAACTAACAAGGTGTGTGAATATCCAAACAATAACTTAAGGAAAGAAACAACAACTGATCGAAATGGGAAGAAATCAGCAAAAGAACTCAGGAAATATGAAGAACCAAACGGAAAACACACCCCCAAAGAGGAGCACCAGCCCCCTAGAAACGGACACCGACCAAATCAGGTAACCATATGACAGAAGAGGAATTTCGTATTGTGATCATAAGAACACTCACCCAGCTGCAACAACAACTCAATAACCAACACAAAGAAACCACAAAAGCCTCCAGGATATGGGAAAAGAAATAGACACAATGAAGAAAAGTGTAACTGAACTCCTGGAAATGAAGAATCAATTCAAGGAACTACAAGATACAGTGGAAACTCTCAAGAACAGGGTAGATCAAACAGAAGAAAGAATCTCAGAGCTTGAAGATAACACCCTCCAATTAAATAAATCAGTCACAGAAATAGAGCAGAGAACAAGAGAAAAGAGCAAAGCCTACAAGAGCTGTGGGATTATGTGAAGAAACCTAATGTGAGGGTCATAGGGTTACAAGAAGGGGAAGAAGACAACACTCAAGGGTTGGACAAGCTGTTTGAAGATATAATAGAGAAAAATTTCCCAGGCCTTGCTCAAAATCTTGATATACAAGTTCAAGAAGCTCAGAGGACCCCTGAGAGATTCAACGCAAACAGGAAGACGTCACGACATGCAGTCATCAGACTGACCAAAGTATCAACTAAAGAGGCCCTTCTAAGAGCTGTAAGGCAAAAGAGCAAGTAACATACAAGGGAAAGCCAATTCGAATAACATCAGAC